ATGCTGCTGCTGCTGCTGCTGCTGCTGATGATGATGATGATGATGATGATGATGATGATGATGATGATGATGATGATGATGATGATGATGATGATGATGGGGAGGAGCAGGAGGATCAGGAGGAGGAGGAAGAGGAGGAGAAAGAGGAAGGCCGCCACATGTGACACCCGTCGTCTTCATGATTTGAGGGGCTCTCATGGAACTCATTCAGGCCGCGTTCGGGGGTGTCTTGGTCTCCTGCGAGGCAGTCTTGGGGGCCTTCTTGGGCCGTTTGGGTGCCCTCTTAACCCGTCTTGGGGCTCTCTTGGGCAGTCTTGGAGCCCTCTTTTGCCGTATGGTGGGTGGTTCGGGGCCGCCTTGGGCCTTCGAAGAGCTTTACAAGGCCGCCTTGGGTCCCACGGGCGGCCCTCTTGGGCCGTCTTTGGCCCGTCGTGGATGCTTCTTGGGCCCTCGTGGGATTTCTTGGACCATCTCGGGACCGTCTTCGAGGCCTCTTCGGCCGTCTTGGGGCCGTAGAGGGGTTTCGAGCCGTCTTGGGCTGGCGGAAGCCAGAAAACGCGAGAATGTGAAGGATGTTGTTGGACATTTGTTTGTGGCTTTTTTTCTGGCCCTCTTGGAAGTATCTCTGGCCATATTGAGGCCATCGTGGGCCGCCAGAGGAGGTATATTGGTGGCATTAGTTGCTTGCATGGGCCGTCTTGGAAGCTCGCGACGCTGATCCATCGTTTTAAACGAGGGATCGTGGCCTCGGAAGCGCGGGCGCACGGGTTTTTACGCATGGTCGTTGCTTAGGGGGCGGGGGGGCGGTGCAGACGTTGGTATGGCGGGGGTCCCTTGTTAGACTACAGACCCCGACCAGACAGCCCTTGGCATTATTTCGCGCCTCGAAGTGCACATGGCACGTTGGCGGAGTGTCCCCACTGGTGGTTGTGTGTGCGTGTTTGCTCCACAGTTGCCATGCGCAGATGTTGCCCCACCAACGTGCCATCGCTACCAACGAGTCTTGATCAAAGCCTATCTGGGCTGTACAGGCCTCTCAATTTTAATGCGTGGCGCCGCTCATGACAACCCACGGTAGGGTAATAATACAAAAAGTTCAGGCTGATGATCCGTCATCTCTCTTTGATATGTGGGCTGCTCCGCAGTTTTGACGGCTGGGTCCCCCAGCAGCGACCGTTTAGGTCGCCACATATTTATCTTCGCGTTTCGACAGCTTCGGCGCAGCATAGAAAAAGTACGCATATTCATCGTTATACCTACACGTGCATCTGCACTTGAGCCAGAATGCAGATGTGCGAACAAGTGGCTCGCGCGTGCCCCTGCCCATACAACCCGAGCAGGAGTGTGTACGCAGGAACGTTGGAAGTCTGTACGAAAGAAGAGACAGTGGACATGAGATCGGCAAAACAATTCAGCGATGAGGTACCAATTGGGCTGCCACACCTTTGGATTAGACGAAATATTCAGAAACACCCGTGGGGTCATAGGGGAATCAAGGGTTAAACCCCTAGAAGCCACTGGAAAACCATGTTGTTTTATACATTTGTTCTGCCAATTGGGATCAATTGCGCGTTTAACCGCATAATTGTTGAACAACCATGGGGTTGTTGGACAATGACGTCATGGTTTGAGTGAGGGTGCGACCGGTACTCATAAGAGTGAGACTGTCCACGTGAAATTGAAATTCAAAGATGAGCGAACATAATTCTACGTTCTCCGGGATGTGCGAATGAGAATACGCACGCTTCTAGACATGGCTCCAATGGTGCATCCACACTATCTGCGTGTATAGGTCCATGTGGATATATGTGAATATTTTCGTTGGCATCCGCGTCTACCTTTGCATTCGCGTCTGAACGTGTTTCAGCTTGCATGTGGGTGCAAACTGAAATACATACGAACCCGACATGTATGCACACATAAGCACCACATCAGCATTGCATACGTATGTGTGTGTTTGGGATATGTACTTGTATATCAATGTTATATATGCATATACATATGTATATGTATAAAACATATATGTAGCCATGTTGGCTCAGTATGGCCAGGGGTGGGCAGCAGCTCGAGTCCATGGGACTTCTGTTCGCCGTCCCTCCCGTCACAGGAAATGTCCGCTTTCCTCGCGCGCCTTCGGCGCATCGTGGTTTCACCGACGAAGGCACCTGCCCACCAGGCACCGCAGCCCCTCTGGTGCAGGCTGCCGCTCTTCCTGTGCGATGCCCTCCATGGCGGCGGCGCTGGGGGCTGGCTCCGTTGCTTCTCCCGCTGGTCCTTTTGCGCCTCGGGCTTCTGCCGGCTCTTCGGCATCCTCGGCAACTGACGGTGGTCGCGACCCATTGCAGCAGCCTGGAGGCGACCCGTGGCTCAACAAGCGTGCGAGGGACCCGAACGGCGAGCCTATCCCGCGCACCCCCAGAGGAGAAGCAGTGGATCCCATGGGCGCGATCAACGCTGCCATCGCTGCCCCTCAGGAGTTCCTCACGAAGCAGTTGGACGTCAAGCTGGCCATGGTCAAGGCGGAGGTCATTGCCAACTTCGGTCAGCAGTTCCAGGGCCCTTTGGCGGCGGTGGTGGGCCAGCAACCCAAGCAACATGAGCAGTTTAGGGGGACATCTCATCACTCCAGGACACGGCCCAAAGGCTGGAGGCCGCTAGCAAGGAAATCTGGCAACGGCCCAACGACATGCGCACGCAGCTCAACATGCAGGAGGCGCAGATCCCGATTCATGACGATGAGAATCTCCTGGAGTGGGACAGAGACGCGGACACCAGCATCATTGTGGGCACCGCTGCCGAGAACTTCACTGCTGACAAGTTCAAGGAGAGCATCCAGCCTATCATGGCAAAGTGTGAGCTCGAGGACACCTAGTGGTCGATCCAAGGCAAGAGCCCCGCTAGGCGCTCCGTGGTCTAGTTTTCGGGGGGCGCCAACGCCGCTGCCAGGAAGGTTCGCACCTTCTACGCCAAGCTCAAGGAAGCAGACGGAACCTGTATCAACACCGAGGTCACCAACGTCCACGGCCACGCCTCGCGGCTCCACCTGGGTCTGGACCGCTCAGCGAAGTCGGCAAGGCGAGAGCTCCATACCACGAAGCTGGCTCAGTTCGATCGCGAGCTTCCTCCTGATAAGCACTGGCGGGCTGACCGACAGCAGGGCATCATCTGCTGCAACAACATGCCAGTTGTATCGGTGGTGGTGGGCGCCACCCGAGAGGCCCCCTCGCGCCTGCTCTTCAACTACGACGGTTGCTGTAGGCGCAACATCGAGAGGGAGGCCATCAAGGAGCGCGTCGAGGAGTTCTTCCAGACCGCGTTGGAGGAACTGGAGGTTCAGTGGCGGACGCAGCCGTGCCTTGGCGTCCTGGAGGGCGCCTCACTCCCTCAGCAGCGTCGCGCTCTCGACTTGGAATGCCCGCGCTCTTCTCTGCCGCGACGTGCAGCAGCGCAAGCGCAAGACTCACTATATGAACGAGGTGCTGCGCTCCTCGTCGCTGCTGGCCCTCCAGGAAGCACGCGGCTCGCATGCTGAACTTCTTCATGCTGCACGCCTGACTCTCATCGAGGCGGCGGTCTTCTCGTCGATCCCTGAGCGCGGCGCCGGTGGAGTTGCAATCGTTGTGCCTGGCCTGTCCCAGTCCACGGTCGAAGACCCCGCGCGCTTCGCGCGCGCGCGGAGATCGCCCCTGGCAGAGTGCAACGATTACTCATCAAGACTAGCTCGGTCCCTGACGACGCCCTCCCGAATATGGTCGTCATCTACAACGTCCACAACTTCAGGTTCACTGGGCAACAGGTCTCGAGAGTCGCTCGCTCCCTCCGCGCTGAAGTCCTAACGGCTGAAGCGCAGCCCGAGCGGATCGTGGTCATCGTCATGGGCGACTTCAGTTTCGTGGGCGAGGCGCCGATGGAGATGCAGACGCCATTGATCAAGAAGGGACTCCCACGTCTCCGTCGGCACAATCCTCAGCGCCAGCTGACATGAGAACCCGCGCTGCAGGAGATGACGGAAATCGACCCTGAGGTTCCCGCCCACTACACCGAGCAGTCGCAGCAGTGCACGCGCATCGACAATATCTTCATCAGCGCGCCGCCGTGGATGCCACTGCAGTGGCGTGCTCGAGCAGACGTCCCGCTCTCGCCTGAGGAGCTCTACGACCGTGGCATTTCGGATCATGCGCCTGGCCACCTCCGCTTTGCCGGGCGCAATCCTGAGCTCGATGACCAGATCCAGCCGGTTCCGAAGTGCATATTCGAGAGCCCGCTATTCGGACACTACCTTAGCATCTTGACGGAAGTCCCCCCATGGCGCGACTGTGTCCCTTTCGCGCAGCTGAGCGAGATCATTCGCCTGCAACGCGAGGCTGCTCGCCTCGCACGCAACGACCTCGCCAACTCATGAGCCCCCTGTGCTGCGGCGGCGCCCACTGCATGCCGATCGGTTTCTAGGGCTGTCTACGGGGAATGACCTGAAGGCGGCGCGCGTGCTTCGTGCTCGCGCGGCGCTGGGAGCACAACACCTGGACATCGCGGACGCAAACAACACTTCCCTGAAGGGCCCGATCGCCTTCCGCAGAAAGTTCGAGGGGCTGCAGCTCCAGTTCCAGGCGCAGCGCTTGGAGGCGATCCACGCACAGGAGCGGTCGGCCCACACCCCTGCTCGGGAAGGACTGCGCCTTCGCAAGATGCAGCTGGCGATCGCATGGCGCGGCAAGCAGTGGGCCCCCTATTGGCAAGGTGCTGAAGCTCAAGGCAATCGAGGTCTTGCGCGATCATTCCAGGACGACGAACCCCGACGAGGTGATAGCGGCGTTTCAGAAGCAGTGGGCGCTTGTCTTCCAGTCCAGACTGAGCCGCACCGAGCATGTCATGCGATGCCAAGCGAAGCACGTCGCCCCGTTCGACTGCTCGGACATGGACATCCCCACGATCGGCGAGATGCGCCGACTCATAGCCAACCTGAAAAAACTCTGCCCTTGAACCTGGCGGCCTCCCCTTACATGGCGTGGAAGCGGACGCCCATGGCATCGGAGATCCTGCTGAACGCCACGATCGGAATCATGAAGGGTTGCCCTGTTCCCCTCGATTTCAACGAGTCGCTATTGGTGTTCACGCCGAAGGGCTCGGAGCCCGAGGATAGCCAGACCGTGTCCAGGCTGGCCAAGGCGACGCGGCCCCTCTCTCAAGAACACAGGCTGCTATATTGTCGCGGCCGTGAGCAACTTCCTGTTGTAGCCCTTCAGGCGTACCACGCACAGAAGGGCTTCCTCCCGCAGCGGCGCTTCATCGAGCGCGTGGCGATGGTGGGCGCGCAGTCGCGCATCGCGGCGATGAAGCCGAGGGTTCAGGGGCGCGACCCGCTGATGATCATGTTCGGCTTCGGCGACGCCTTCCCCGCCATGTGCCGCGCCTTCCTGCCGGCGGTCCTTACCTTCGGCGGCCCCCCGCCGTCTATCCTCAACATGATCGACGCCATCTACCTTTTCCCGCTGGCCTGGACCAACCTGGGTGGCAATCTCCAGATCTTCTGCTGGCTGGCTTCTTGTATCTTGCAGGGCTGTCCGTGGTCTGGGACGCTGTGGGCAGTGGGCATGGGCCCGCTGACCTGCGACATGTTTGACCGCGCGCGCCGCTTCGAGCAAGCTGTCATCGGGGCGTGCGCGGACGATGTCGGGTCGGTCTTACCATCCATGCAGATGCTGAAGCCCCTGAGCAGCGTGTTCTACGCGGCGGAGCAACTGGCCCGCCTGGTCCTCAAGACGGTGAAGTGCAATATCGCGCCTCTGGCCCAGGTGTTCTCAATGGAGTTGGCGGGCAGAGTCGCACAAAGTATGAAGCTGCTGGCCCCCCGCTGGTCCGACATGCAGATCGCCCCGATGGCCGGGTACATCGGCGCGGTGCTCGGCCCAGCGGCGACGAATGACTTGCGCTGGCAGAAGGTGGTGGAGGGCTGGAAGGTGGCAGCCAACGTGGTTGCGGACCTCGGCGCGCGGACCAGCACCAGCCTCATGCTGTACAACCAACGCGCGGTCTCGAAGGCCTCATACCAGGGTCAGCTGCTAGATTGGCCTCAACATCTCTGCAGGCAGGGGTCGTGGCTGCTGCGTCGTATCTAGCATCTGCGGCCACAGTCCTTGCGTCGCACGGGCCTGCTGGGGATCGGCAAGTGGTCCAGGGCCCTGAAAGGCGACGTCGCTGGAGCTGTCCAGCTTCTCGTCTTTCATCAGGAGCTCAAGAAACGGTTCAGAACTGGGATCTGTGGTTGAGGAGGTTGACGAAGACAATGGGCGAGAACTTGACTTTCAATCACTTCCCGAACAGAGGTAATGTGGCCCCGACGCACTGGCTCGAACAGCCCATTGCCAAGAACCTCAAGGAGGCTGCCTACGGCTTCGTAGAGCGCGGCGACGAGGTGTCCTCCGCGCGCGTGGACGCCGTGCGTGAGTGGCGGCGTGCTGCGAGACAAGCCACCGTAGACTGCGCCCCACACCCTCGTCTGCAGCGTTTCATTCACTCCCGCCTTGTCTCCTCGCTCCTCGAGTCTCCCCTCGCCTCTACGTTCCTTTCTCGTCTGCAGTCTTGGGGGCCTCGTGGGACCGAGCCTCTGCATGGACCCCTCGAGTGGGAAGCAGTCCTGGGGCTTTCAGAAACTTGTCCTCCTGCGGGGCAATCAGCCCTGTTGAAGACCTGGGCGGGCGGGTGGACCACCTCCCGACGATTGCGCCGCTCCACGGGGGACCATGCAGGAGTGCGTTTTCGGATGCTCGCGGTTCGAAGATCCGCACGCGAGAGACGCCACGCCTCACTACGCGGTTTGCTCCCACATGTGGCACGCGGTACGCATGGCTTGGCACGTGCGCATTATTGCCCCAGAGTGTCTAGGCGAGAGATTCGGTTTGCGCGTGGGTGCTTCGGCGACGTCCCACCGTTTGGCGCTGGAGCGCGGAATCAGCGCTTTCCATACGTACAATATGCAATCCAGGCTCCCCCCTGCAGCCTGGGCGATCCCGAGCACCGCCCTTGACAGTGCGAAGGCCGGCAGGGCGATGCTCCTGCGTAGGCCTCTGGACCTCTCGAGCGTCCCTTGGTTACGAGTGATATATCTATATATACACATATTTATGTGTATATTATGAAAAGAGCGCGCTGCGAGAGACGCGAACAACAAAAGGGGGGCCCAGCTTCAAGCTACCCCCTTCCCACTTTTGATGCGGAGGGGAGCCCCGGCGGAAGCTACCCCCACTTTGTTTATGGGTTTCGAGGGTAAGCCCAGGCTTGGCTTTCCAAGGGGGGGCGGGGCACGGGGGTTGCGAGGCACCTCCCCCCCGCCGTGCGAAGCTGGGAGTTGCCGGGGCTCGGGGGGAGGGGGCGCTAAAGCTCTCTCCCCCTCTTGGGGCTCATGGTAAGTCCGGGCTTACCCGTGCGAGGGGGGGATCCCAAAGCTACCCCCCCTTTCTCGTCGTTCTGTTCGTCGTCCTCGTCGTCGTCGTTGTTGTCGTTGTCGTCGTCGTCCTCGCCCACGTCGTGGTCGTCACATTCGTAGGCTCGCCGTCGTCCGTCTGAGTGTGTTCGTAGTCGGTGTCGTGTTCGTCGTCCATCTTCTCGTCGTTGTCGGGGGTCGCCTTTTTCGTCGCCGCCGTCAGCGGGCGCGCGAGCAGGCGCGCGAACGCGGGCGGGCGGGCGCGCGGGCGGACGGGCGGGCGTCGTTGTCGTCGTCGTCCGTGTCGTCGACGTGGCCGCCGTTGCCGTCGTCATTGTCGTCGTCATTGTCGTTGTCGATGTCGCCGTCGTCGTCGTTGTCGCCATCGTCGTCGTCGTCGTTGTCATCGTCGTGGTCATCCGTGTCGTCGTCGTCGTCGTCGTCGACGTCGCATGTGTCGTCGTCGTCATCTTTGTCGTCGTTTCTGTCCGCGGTGGGGCAACGAGCCGAGTGCATTGTTTTGTTTGCTTTCGCGGCGCTGCCACGTCGAATGCAATAAAGTAGTTTGATTCGTTGCGCCGATGTTACCGTGTGGCGCGCAAAGTTGTATTGTATTTTGTTCGCCGGTCTGTCGTTGCCACGTTGCGAATGGAGTGGCGCTGTATGTGCTCCCGGCCCGCGGTGTTGCCACATGGCGAATAAGATGGAATATGTGTGTTTTCGCCCCCCCTAGGCGTTGCCACGTGTCGAATAGAGTGAGATTGTATATGTTCGGCCCGCGCGGCATTGCCACGCGATGGTTAGAGTGGAGTGGTATTTCGTGTTCGCCCCTCATGTCGTTGCGACGTGGCGAGTGGAGCGGTATAGTTGTTGGTTTGCCCCTCAGGCCTTGCCACGTGGGGTTACCATGTGGCGAGTAGACTGGAGTGGAGTAGCGTTGTTTCCCGCCCCGGTTCGTTGCCATGCGACGGTGAAGTGGAGCATTTGTGTTTGACCTCGCAGGCATTGCCACGTGGCGAGTACAGAGGAGTAGTATGTGCTTCCCCCTTTCCGAGCGTTGCCACGTGGCGAGGAGAGTGGAGCAGTATTTGTTTCGCTTCCTTGGCGCTGCCATGTGGCGGGCCGAGTGAATATACATATAACTGGTGACTGGGTCTGGGGGCCGGGGGCCGGCGCTTCGATCGCAAATGTGGGGCCCGGGCGTCATTTTCCTTGTGTTTTCACCGCGTTTCGGCGACCCGGGGCCAACAGGGCCCCAAGAGGCTGCAGGGAGGCCTCAGGAGGCCGCAGTGATGGCTCCAGACGCCTTTCAAGACGACCCCCATGACGCCAAGAAGGCCCCGAAACCCCCGAAGACGGCCCAAGAAGCACCCCGAGAGAGCCCCAAAAAGGAAAAATCGTTGCTTTCCGATGGGGAAACTACTATTTTTAGCGTGTTTGCCTTTTCGGCTTCCACTGCGTCCAAGACGGCCCAAGAGGCCCCCAAGATTACCCCACAGGCTCCCAAGAGGGCTCCAAGACGACCCCAAGAGGGTCCCAAGACGGCCCGAGAGCCCCCCAAGATAGCCCAAGAGAGCCCCAGGACGAGCCCCAGGGGGGTCCCAGAGGTGCACAACCATATTCAAATTCCATGCTGTCGGCCCCAGAGGCCAGGAGGCCCCAAGAGGCCCCCAGGAGGCCCCAAGAGGCTCCCAGGAGGCCCCAAGAGGCCCCCCCAGAGGCCACCAAGAGACCCCACGGAGGCTCCCAAGAGGCACCCCAATAGAGCCCCAACTAAGCAAACATCGTCGACTTCCTATGCGAAAACTGATATGTTTGGCGTGTTCGCCTTTTGGGCTTCCACTGCGTCCAAGACGGCCCAAGAGGCACCCAAGACGGTCGAGGATGCCCCCAAGAGGGCTCCAAGACGGCCCACGAGGGGGCCAATACGGCCTACGAGACGCCTAAACCGCTCAACAACGCCCCAAGTCGGCGCCCAAGGCGCGGACGAGGAACCGACAATGCGAGCCATTTGGCCCAAGAGGCCCCCAGCAGACCCCAAGAGGCTCCAAGAAACGCTTAAGAAGCCCCAAGAGGTCCCCAGGAGACCCGCAAAAACACTCAACAAGAGTCCCCGAATACGCCCCAAGGGGCACTCCAACAATAGAGCCCCCAGTAAGCAACATTTTGATATCCAATGGAAGAACATTTTTTTGCGCGTTCGCCTTTTGGGCTTCCACTGCGTCCAAGACGGCCCATGAAGCCCCCAATATTGCCCACAGGTTCCCAAGAGGGCTCCAAGACGATCCCAAGACGACCCGAGGGCCCCCGAAGACAGCCCAAGAGAGCCCCAGGACGAGCCTCAGAGGGGTCCCAGAGGTGCACAACCACATTCACATTCCGAGCTTTCGGCCCCAGAGGCTCCCAGGAGGCCCCAAGAGGCTCCCAGGAGGCCACAAGAGGCCCCCCCAGAGGCCACCAAGAGACCCCAAGGAGGCTCCCAAGAGGCACCCCAATAGAGCCCCAACTAAGCAAACATCGTCGACTTCCTATGCGGAAACTGATATGTTTGGCGTGTTCGCCGTTTGGGCTTCCACTGCGTCCAAGACGGCCCAAGAGGCACCCAAGACGGTCGAGGATGCCCCAAGAGGGCTCCAAGACGGCCCAAGAGGGCTCCAAGACGGCCCACGAGGGGGCCAATACGGCCCAACGAGACGCCTAAACCGCTCGACAACGCCCCAAGTCGGCGCCCAAGGCGCGGACGAGGAACCGACAATGCGAGCCATTTGGCCCAAGAGGCCCCCAGCAGACCCCAAGAGGCTCCAAGAAACGCTTAAGAAACCCCAAGAGGTCCTCCAACACAATAGAGCCCCAGTAAGCAAACATTGATGATATCCTATGGAAGAACATTTTTTTGCGCGTTCGCCTTTTGGGTTTCCATTG